CTGAAATGGGAAGAAGAGGAAACTCAAAACTTGTGACACAGATTGTGATCGATGACTGATATAATCACAAGAGAGAATAACAATGTGATCTTGTGGCTTTGTGATGTCATCGTCATGATGAGTCAACTACCAAAGCAATGATCTTGTCTTCACAGAGCTGGAATAAAGCATTTTGTCACACTTACATGATTCAGATCAGCACAGAACTTCAACAGCAAGTTACAGCTGAGTAAAAGGAAATCAAGTTTTCACCTGAAACTAAGCATCTAAACTGGCCTTGTTACGACCTTAATAACAAACGTGATGGCTGGTTGTAACAGGCTGGAGGGGAAAAAGTCTGATGCCCCTTCATTTTACAGAAACTTCAGCCATGTTGGAGTATTTTATACCTTTAATGGCCTGTGTGAGGTCAAAGATCAGACATTCTCCTTCAGGATGTTCTGCTAGGGCAGAATTCATGGATCCATCAGCTACAGCAGGTGGTCCTGATGCAGCAGAGCAGCCCAGCCCATCACACTGCCACCACCGTGTCTGACTGCTGTTTTAGTGTTAGAACCCAGATGGAACAGGACAAACACCTACTGGACGGTTCCACTTTTACCACATCCATGCACACGATTTCTATTCTACATCTTGAGAATCATCAAAATGTGTTTCAATTACATTTCACCAACAGGCAAGTTGGTTTGGATGAAAAAATCCTGATCTGAAAGCTTTACTCCTGCCATCTTCTCTCAAATCGAAGCTTTTAGCTGAAATGAGACGTTCAAACGTAACACCGCGATAAACAGCAAAAAGGGGCTAATGCTCCGTCACAGCGCTGCACAAGGAAAACAGTAACATCATTGTCCCAGAGATGTGTTGTTATGGTAACCAATGGTGGGATTTAGAGTTGTGATTCTGGTCTCTCCACAGTAAGATTATAATACTGCATTTGTTTCCTCATCGTGTTACTTTGTTCCTTTTTGTGTAGAGGTCAGATCAGCTGGGATCCATAAATATCAGCTTTTGTTTAGTTCACACTGATCCTCAGACAAAAATGAGCGGCGAGCTCATTTTAACATCATTTACTGATATTAGTTATTTAGTAATGTTTTAGAACGCTAAAGCTTTAAAATAAACTTAGATTAAGATTTTGTTTTTAAAAAGTCTTGGAAAGAAGTGTAATCTCAGTTGATTTCATGTAATTCACAAAGAATGTTAAGAACTTTGTCGTCCCTGATCCACACTGGTTCTGGTGGGTCTGAGCTTCAGCTCTTGAGGGGACCGGTGCGCAGTTTAGCTGTTTCAACGAAAACATCTTCACGGCTGTTTCTGGTAGCTTCACACAACAAACACAAAATAATTTATCCGTGGGAGATCAAAACCAACACTGTGCCCTTTCAGGTGTGGTTTAAGGTGAGGCCGACACTCGGGGGGGAACGTGGTGAGTTCTGTACACTAGATAAATCACGCAGCCTGCAAAAGTGACAGATTGAGGTTAACCGTGCAGTTTAACAACAAAAACAGCTCCCAAACTGAAAAAACCTCACGGATCCTGCAGCCTCCCGGTTTGACAGAATGAGGCTGATCGCCGCTTCTAACTCTGGCAGAGCAGGTACCGTACCTGGAGGACGTCTCCAGGGTGCGTGCAGGTGTGGAAGCATCCCTGATTGGCTCTCATCCTTTACACACCGTCTCAGATCCAGAGCACCAAACTGCTGCTACAGTCCATCAGCTAACGGGAAAACTGGTCCGTTCTGGGCCTTCGCTGTAAGCAGCAGAGGCTTACGGTGTGTGAAAACAGCTGACCCACAGAAATGAGGCAGGCTGAGGCACATTCTTAGGGTTTAAGGCTTCGTAATATGAGGAATACTGGGGGGGGGGGGGGGGGGGGCAAAGTGTGTTGAATCTGGACATCAGGTTCCTTTTATCATATCATGCATTTTATCTGAATGATGTCATATTAACCAAACAAGAGACAATCTGAAGACAAGTGGCTGAAAAGTAAAACTGACACGCCCCTCAGGATGACATCATCTTTGCAGCATGTTGTTTCTGCCCTGCCTGTCTCATAACTCATATGTTTTCTTTCATCATCAGAATTAAAAGTGTTCATTCAATAAAATCTAATCATTTTCCAGTGGCTCTGCTTGTTAAGGTTGTGGGATTGTGATTAAATGGGTTTGAGCTGATTTACGTGTGACGGCATCTGCTGACAGTTCTCCGAATGTTTATTGTGAACCGACCACTAGATGGAGCAAAACTAAAATATCATTTTAACCAAAGGAGTGCATGTGCAGAATATGGGCTCTTAAGTAAGCAGCTACCACAGAGCCAGTTATCTGAGCAATTAGCTCAGGAGGTACAAGTGGGAGGAGCTTAGCAGCTGACACAATGAATCATCTCAGCTAATCAGTTCAGGACTGCTCTCTGCATCAGCTGGTGGAGCACGGGAAGCCTGCAGAAGAGCGTTTCACCAGGGTGAGACAGAACAGACAGCATTTGAAGCTGCTGAATGCAAGCGTCTACTCTGTCAACCATTCTCACACGTATTTGGAGTCTGATGACATGCATCAGCGCTACTTTAGCTCCTTACTGAACCAAACACACGCTATTCACCTGGATAAAAGGCCAGCTTCGGACTCCAGGTTTACAAAAGCACTGAGAGAGGATGAAAGAGCTGTCAGTCTTTATGTTTGTCTCTCCAGAGACTGGACATCCTGAGCGTCGCTCTGCAGGGTGCAGGTTCTGCCCTTTTGGCCAGGCTGGCGCACTGGCAGCTTGTTATGTAGGATGAAATGGAATATCCCAGTGGAGAATTGAAAAACGTGCAGATGTGGCCACAAGACTAGCTATGCCTGCATTTAATCATACCACATAGAAGGGGAACACTAAATTCATGTGGTGGCTAGCAGACACTGTTACATTTCATTTTCTAACATTGCTGATTAAAAATGTCAACCCTGAGGTGGTCAATGGGCTCACACTAGAATATCTCCGACTCCTGAGTAAACCGGCTGTCAGCATTTAAGACGTCACACTGGTTAAATGTCATGTCCGGCCTGCAGCCCGTCTTATCGCGTTTTCCAGTTTTCATGCATTATTAATGAAGGCCAGTATCACACACATGTCTGTGTCTGCTCTCTGGGCTTACACACTCTTCTGAAGACACCCAGTGCAACCAGTCAAACATTTTACTACCTGTCCTAAAATATTTTAAAGCATATATATATGTGTGTGTGTGTGTATATATATATACATGTGTATACATGTGTATATATACACATGTATGTATATATATATACATACATACATGTGTATATATACATGTGTATACATGTGTATATATACACATGTATGTATGTATATATACAAACATACATGTGTATATATACATGTGTATACATGTGTATATATACACATGTATGTACATATATATATATATATATATATATATATACCTGTATGGTATATACCTGAGGGTGGTTTTGTGGAATTGTCTGGGCTTGACGGAACCTGTGACACGGTCAAAATGGCGGTGGTGGCCACCTCCCATTTTTCTTCAAAAATGTGTTATTGGAGTCTATGGAAACACATTGTCCAATATTTATATGTCGATGGTGTATGTATATATATATATATATATATATATATATATATATATGTATAGGTATGTATATATATAGGTATATATATGTGTATATATACACTTGTATATATACACTTGTATATATACACATATGTATATATATAGGTATATGTATAGGTATGTATGTATATATATATATATATATATATATATATATATATATATATATATATATATATATATATATATATATATATATATTAGTGGTGGGCATAGATTAATTTTTTTAATCTAGATTAATCTCACTGTAATCTTGGAATTAATCTAGATTAATCTAGATTAAAATGGCTCATTCAAATTCTGCCAAAGGCATATGTGTGTGCTACCTAGATAATGAATAAAAGCAAGTCTTTGAGAATGGAGGCGTATTTCTTGTTTCAATAATGCATCACAGACTGATTAAGCAGTTTTACTACGATAACTGATGATGAAAATAAATAATGATCAATAAGTATTTGTGTTTAATAGCTGTTTATTCAGTTCAACAAATTCTGCACTGTAGGTCTACAGAATAGGTCATGATTAACTATTTACAGCCAGTAGCATTTGGTCAATCAGTCCAAGCTCTATTTCTCCTTCTTCCACCAGTCACTCAAGCAGACCAGCTTGTTCACATTGTCTGGTGACAAACTAGATCTTCTCTTCTGCACAATATGGCCTGCTAAAGAAAAAAGTATATATATATATATATATATATATACACACACACACACACACACACACACACACACACACACACACACACACACACATACATACATACATACATACATACATACACACACACACAAACTATCTGGCCTGGGGAGTGGGTTAAATTTCTGGGGTGCCCTTCCAATGCCCCCCTTTAGTTTGCATGTAGGATCGCCTCTGGTGAATTGGAGCGAGAGCTGGAAATGCCACTGCTCACCTGTATGAGCAGAAGCCAACTGTTGCTGTTGTTGTCTCTGAAAACGGCAAGGGGAGTTATCCTAGCTCAACTTTTCTAAACAAATATAAAAATTTATGAGTAAAACGTTTATTATTACAGGTGACTTTGTCTCGGTTTTCTTACATCCGAGCGCTGCTTCGGCCGCGGACGGTGAAGTGTGGCCCGGGGAAAGCCCGGCTGAAAATGTCGGAGGTAAACAAAACAAAATAAAAAGAATGAAAGTCGGATTTATGGATTAAACTCTGGTGAAAGTACGTAAATTATTTACTTGTCCCGCGCGATGAGAAGGGAGAAGCGCTGCTGGTGGCGAAGGTGCGACTGTTCGGCTGCATGGGGAACATTAAACTCCGCGAGCCTGGCGTCCGTCCATACGTACGATGATCCGCGCCGAGTATACATCCGCGCCAACCAGGTATCCATCCGCGCAATGTGAAAGTC